TACACTGCTAGTTGGTTGCCGACGATGTTTTTTTTGGAAATAGAATCTTCCAAATAGTATTACTAATCAAGTAAAAGTACATTTCGCTAAATAAGAACTGAAGAAAAACAAAAAACTACTGGGTATTCAAGTCGTATAACTGAAGCTTGGATGGCGTTCACTTGATTATTTATACTCTTTAGACAAGTATGATAGACTGGCGTGTATTTTTTTAGAATACTCAATATCTACATTTTTTTCAATTGCTTTAAAGACCGTAAGGTTGAAACTGAATCTGTCTAATTACACCTGATTATTTATTGTATGGGTATCCTCTCTATAAAAGTGAAAAAGTTTTTAGTATTAATTAATGCAGTTTAACTAGGTAACCTAGGGAACGTCGTTGAAAATCGAAACCAATTGTAGGCACTTTTTACCGCCAGGCTGAATAAGGTTAAGTACAATAAAACAACAATAATGAAAAAAGATAAAGAAAAGAACAAATCCCCAAAATATAAACAACAAAGAAGGCTAATTACACATAGATAACAGCGATGACTACGGAGACGCCCGCCTGTGCGACGAAGACCGTGCCAGGGAAGACTTCGAGAGTGCTATTGTAGATGGCGGTGTTAAGGGGCGTGGTCAGGACGGGGAGGAGGGACTCGCCCATCCCGATGACGGAGAAAACGGCGCCCAGTTCGTCCGGCGCCACCAGCTTGGACAGGGCGCCGCGGGAACACGATATCGCGAAGGCAGATATGCTGGTCACCGCCGAGGCTGAGGACGCACACTTTTGGCTTTTGGGAACTTGTAATTATTGGTTGTCATGATACGGGTGAGGGTGACGGGCGTGAGGACGAAACAATGCTAATGAACATAATAGTGGCAACAATGATTATGTTAATAGACAGAAATAATATTAATGATAATAATGATGATAAGAATTGTGTTAGTAAACGGAAATACTGTTAATAATCATATTGATGATAGTATTGTATTCACTGATTGTATTAATAATGATAATGGTGACAATAACTATAGCATTAATAGTGATAATAAAGTTCATGATCATAATAGCAAGATAATGATAATGTCATAGAAAGGCAATAGTAATGATGGTGATAGTAATAACATCATTATCGTAAAAATGAGTTTCACAACAAATTGTCTATAAAAACTCTCCAATCCATTAGTTTATATGCATACACCCGAGCGCGATCCCGTAAAACAGAACCCCATCCCCTAGAAAAAAACACTTTGACTGACTTAAATACAGCACCCAGCCTGCAGGAGCTGTGCCCAACATGACGCCGTAAAAGATATGCGAGCAACTGGAGATAAAAGCTATCATACCATCCTCTATTCTCAGTCGGTAGCTTAGGATTGGTAACACAATGCAGGTACCTGTAGAGATTATACTTCGATATAGTATTTCTTATCTTTTTTATCAAAATGGAGTACGGCTGATTTTATATTAGGTGGAACTTACATAATTTCATTTTTTTAAAGTGAAGTTTGGCCGTAGAGTTTAATTTTCAACTAAAGTATTAATATTCCAAAACAATAATAACATTGGTGAAAATTTCACATGATAAGAAGCCTAAATATACCAACTCATCATACAACTGTTTATGTAATTATTCACATTTTCATTCAACTAGGAGAATCATCGTGCATTGATACTTTACTCAGGACAGAAACTGGAGTACTGAACATGCTATAGAGAGTGTAGTCGAAGTAATCCCATTGGAACTTCTTGCGGGTGTAAAGAAACAGGAAGGACATTCCACCTGTGAGAAAAAAAACTGAAGACTTACAAAAGGTAGTATGTGAATGGATAAGTTAGCTGTTTATTTATTTATTCTTTTTTTAATGTTTTCATTTAGGTGGAAGGTGGGCCTTAACCTATCTATTTTTTAAACTATGATATGCTGAGATTAGAGAGAGACAAACTCAAACAGAAAAGAGGGAAATTATTTATGTTTCACAGCTGCACATCGATGACTTAAGTGCACAGCAAACCAGCTATATATTTAATCTATTACGACTACCACTGATCACATTATGAAACAAAAGTAATAAGTAACATGTCGCACATGGAGGGAGGAAAACAGATATATCAAGTTTGTTCTAAAAGATCCAAAAGTGAATTATACAAATTGGAAAGAGAAAAATTTGTAATTCCATTTTTCCACACATAGCTATAAAGAGCTTACCAAGAGACATGACATAAAGGCAGATGCAGGCGATGTGGCCCAGGATCTGCGGACGCCCCCGGCCCTCCCTCTCCTTGAACACGACCCGCCACGTTGACTTGATGGTGTCCAGCGAGAAAACACTCTTCTCCCCGCCCTCCATCGCGCTCTGCGGTGGTTTGTCGTCGAACCGCAGTACGACGTAGACAGCAGAAAGAGCCGAGACGACGAACTCCACTCCGAAGACAAGCGTGTAGCCGCCGTACCGGTAAAGCAGCGTCCCAAGGGCATGGCCAATGGGGGAGGTGGCGAACATCGTGATG